GTAGTAGTAGTAGTAGTAGTCGTCGTCGTAGTAGTGGTAGTAGTAGTAGTAGTAGTAGTAGCAGTAGAAGTAGTAGTAGTAGTGGTAGTAGTAGTATTATTATTAGTAGTAGTAGTAGTAGTAGTCGTAGTCGTAGTCGTAGTAGTAGGAGTAGTAGTAGTAGTAGTAGTCGTCGTCGTCGTCGTCGTAGTAGTGGTAGTAGTAGTAGTAGTAGTAGTAGTAGTAGTAGTAGTAGTAGTAGTAGTACTAGTGCTAGTAGTAGTAGTAGTCGTAGTCGTAGTTGTAGTATGTTGCCGCACCCCAGGCGCACCCCCGCCGTGACGTGATCGGTGGGGCGCCCCCCCCCATCACGCATGTGACCGGCACGAATAAACGAATGGGCTCGAGAGAGAGAGGGAGGGAGAGAGAGAGCGAGAAGGAGACAGAAGGAGAGAGAGGGAGAGAGAGGGAGACGGAGAGACAGAGGGCGAGGGGAGGCGCATCACGCACGCTCCATGCTCAGCGGCGTGCTGCGACCAAACACGAGTGTAGCTCTCGGGTCGGTTCCCCCTGCGAAGCAGGCCGGCGACTTGGCAACGACTTTGCTGTGGGGCCTTCGGGAGTTGGGGTCCTCCGACAGGTGCAGGCGGTGCCGCGCGATCGATCGGCAGAGCCGAACGTCTGGTCAGCCCTTCCGCAGCCCGTGTGGTAGCGGTGGGCCTGGCGGCTCCCCGGGCAGACCTTGAGACCGATAGCTGGAGAGGTGCGTCCAGCTTAGAGCCCGATCCACCTCCTCCCCCTCCCTCTCCTCCTCCTCCTCCTCCTCCTCCTCCTCCTCCTCCTCCTCCTCCTCTCCCTCCTTCCTCCTCCTCCTCCTCCTCCTCCTCCTCCTCCTCCTCCTCCTCCCTCCTCCTCCTCCTCCCCTCCCCTCCCTCTCCTCCTCCTCCTCCTCCTCTCTCCTCCTGTCCTTCCTCCTCCTCCTCCTCCTCCTCCTCCTCCTCCTTTCCTCCTCCTCCTCCTCCTCTTCCTCCTCCTCCTCCTCCTGTCCTTCCTCCCAGTCCAGGCATCGAGCGCGCAGCCAGCTTGTATCCCGACGCCCCAGGAGGTGCCCGTTGGGAGCACGACGGAGGCGGAACTGGTCTCCAGAGGGGCGTGGTCGCTTGGCCACGATGTGGGTGACGTTTGTAGAACTTCGGAGCGGGGTCGGGCAGCAATTTCGAGCCCCGCACCAGTGGGCCTCGACAGGACTTGGAGGCGCTCGCGCTATTCAGAAAAACGCGGACCCAAGTCGTGAAGGGGCGGTCCATCACCCTGACAGTTTATTGTTGCGCCAGCTCCTCCAGCTCTTGCTTCTCCAGCTCGCCCCTGGCTTTTGAACTTCCAGCGGATCGTATAACGGCTGTGACGACTGCTATTTCATATCCAGCTCCGGACCAAGCACGACAAAGACCGGTTGGCATCCGTTTCTCCCTTCGGGGCTTTGTCGTTCGTCTCTTGAAGTGTCGGCTCGGTGTTCGGATCATTCCGCGATCCCCGAGCACGCCGTCGCAAGCTGCATCGCATCCAGCAACTTCGGATTCAGCAGAGACAACTCCGCGCAATTCGCGAGATCGACCAAGCGCGATTGCCCATCGTGTTGTTCGGGTGGATGATGGAAGGGGTGGACTTCGTCGCGTTCCGCACGCACCGATCGGTGCCTGATTATTGGTGCCACTGCGGATCTCCGCCAGATGCCCGGGGTCTTGGGAAAAGCGCGCGACCCCGCGAGTTTGCCGCCCGCGCCCTCGCCTTGGTCTCGCCGCTGAGCCGCGTCGTCGCGGGACTAGCTCCGAGATCCCGCCCTGGACACCCAAGGCCCCCGAGCTCAAGCTCCCCAGCCCCAGCAGCCTTGTGG